CCCAAACCGCTGAAGTGTCGACCATTTCTGGCCAGCAACTTTCAGCGTCATTAAGCCTCTGCGCCACCGCATCCCCTTAAGCCAACATTAAGGGAGTTCTAATAGGACTTTGGAAGATCAGCAATATAAATTTAATAGCAATCATACATAGGAGGAATTTGATTGGGACCACAGAAATACAGAAAGGGGGGTGGAAGAGCTGAACACCTTGCTCCATTGATAAAAAAATTACATCTTGCCCCGAAACAGGCAAAACCTACAGGTAGCCGCTCATTCACAGGTCTCTGGTTTCTTTACTTTTAGTCTAATTTTAAACAAAACCTGATGTAATATAAAGTAAGGCTGTAATACTTGGTTAATAAACATTTGGAAGTATTTTACAGTAGTTAATTAAATGCTCCTACATATTTGGGCACAATTTTTTTTTATATATATATAAGGAAGATGAGCTCTAAAAATATCAGTGCAAATGAAGTGTGTATATGGTATTATTTTTCAAAAAGGTGTGGGATGCTCCTTCTCAACCAGGAAAGAAAGCCTCTAAGAGCAGTCTTGACTGCCTGTGCATTATTTTAAGCATATGCTGTTCCGGGTATAATTTATCTGCATTAAAATATATGCACAAGCAATCAGTGAAGCCTGTGATGGCTGTAAATAGCTACCTGGGAGTAAGACACCCACCCTGTGAAACATCCCCCCCCCCCCAGGTGAGACATCCTTGATGTCCTTCTGGAAGTCCTGCAAAACTTGGCTATGTTAACAGGCTTGGGGGGTCTCAAGGAACTGGTGATTTAATGAGGTGGCTACATTGTTTGTAATATTTAATGCTCTCTCCTAGCCTCTTAATAATAATATTGTTTTAATTGTGGGATGTTTTTTAATATTGTCATTTTATGATTTTTTATTGTAAGTCACCCAGAGTCACATTTTGTGAGATGGGCGGCCATATAAATATGATAAATAAATAAAAATAAATAAATAAGGCCAATAGAATGCAAGGTGGCTTACATCCAACATATATGGCATAAGTATGCATGGTCAACGGCTGAAATAAACTCTTTAATCGAGTGGCAGGGCAGCCCACTCTAGTAATTCATAGGAACACTTCATTTCCAACAAGAAATGTTAATTAAACTCTCAGAATACTTGCCAGATAAGAAGTTATCCACAGCATCGCGAAACTCCAGGAAATCAAAGTCATCCTCGGGTTGCAAGGAAGGGCTCTGAAACGTATAAAAGAAACGAGGCGGTCAGGGAAACTTTTCCCGGGAATCACCTTCTGACGTTTTCCTCCCACGCGTTATAAACATCTTCACGCGCACCTGCAAACCCACTGGCCACCCTGGGCAGCGAAGGGAACAAGCCTGCATCGCCAAACGGCAGGGGAAAAGAAAGGGCGGCTGATGTTGGTCTGTCACGGCCGTTAAGGGCAAGTGCTATTGAGAGAATCGCTGCGATAGACGGGTTTTCTTTGAAAAAAACAGACGCGAGAAAGTTGAACCCATCGCCCTTGCGGATCTACACGCGTAGGCGCCGCTCCCGCAGGCGATGCTTCTCCCTACGGTGCCATATCGCGATCTAATTGGCTAGGCACGCGAGCCAATCGCGTTCTTCCCAGCTGGGCATTCCTCCCGTGCTGGAGGCAGGCGAAGCCGCGCGAGCTTCCCTTTCCAGTTGCTGTGATTGGCTTACTAGTTTGTGCCCAGCGTGTCACGTGAACATATTTTGGAACTATTGCACAAGGCCTTTGGATTGCATCTTATAAAATAAATAAAATGGAAAATGGGCATACCTGCATACAGGTATCCTGTAGGCCTCTGCACTATAGCATCCTCCCTGCCATTCACACGACCTAATCTGATTAACTCTGGTTGCTGCGAAGGTGCAAAGTAACCACTCGTTAGCAGCCACTC